AAGCCACGAAGGCCTCTTGTTCCTCGTTTCCCCATGTAGCTACACTGTATCTTGCCATCCAAATCATGAGTGTGGGTAGATACCGTAATGCAATAATTACTTGCAGAACTTAGCACCCTATAGGGACTATATGACCACCATTTATCTCAAGCAAGTTCTATCATAGCCATTCACTATCCCCTTTCCAGTTGCTATTACGATATGAGTGTTTACAACTGAAGCTGCTTATCTCCCAACAATAAAGGCCTTCCTCTTTTTCTTGATACTGAGTTACTCACTTCCATGAGAGGATCATTTCCATTCCTGCATGTACATGTATACTTTCTGGATGCTAACTCCTTTTTGTCTTGGTTCATCCAAGTACGGATGGTACATTCTTTCAATTATCTGTTAGAGAAGTCTCCTTTATTATGATGCTTGACTGTGTTAGTCACCCCCATCTCAGCAGCTCTCTGGGAAATCCTCACCTTCTCTTCTTCTGAATACACATTGTACTCTTTCTGTTTCCTTTTTGTTGGTCTTTTAAGTTCTAAGTTCACTTCTTCATTGTCAAGGCGATAGATTTAGGAAGCACAAAGGCACTCAACGCACCTTGAGGACTGGGCAAGAAGATTTCTCAATTTCTCACAGTAAAGTTTATGAAGAGGTTGGATCTTTTCGTAGTAAGGCAAATGCAGCTGCAAATTGATATCCAATCTCTTGTGACTTAGAGTATTCAGTAATATCCAACTCTCTTGTCTGTAAGTTCAACGTGAGGCATAAATACACATTGTACTCTTCCCGTTTCCTTTTGTTGGTCTTTTAAGTTCTGAGTTTACTTCTTCATTGGCCAAGGCAATAGATTTAGGAGGCACAAAGGCACTCAGCGCACCTTGAGGACTGGGCAAGAAGATGCCTCTTCTTTTCTTGGTTCAGCAGAGTGAACAGATGCTCTTTTGAAATAATGAAGAATCGCCATCAATTATAATTCACATTTGCAACAATACTGTAATAAGTTCTAATTGTACGTACACTCACATGCTAAGAATTACCCCTCTGTGCCCTCAAATTTCCATGTATAGGGTAGCTCACCACCCCGACGACCACCAACTATTATTAGAGTAACCATCTACTCTACTTCTCCCCCTAAGCTCTATAACTCATTGAGTGGATGTGACGTACATGTTCCTTTTCAAGTTCTGCCATCTGAGCCACTGATCCTGTCAAAAGCAGTGGGTTCTCTCTGGAACTGAGAGCAGGTTGTGATCTGTCTGACATTAAGAAGAGCCTGTAGCCTTTTTTCTATTACTATTATCAGCAATAATAGCTTTTTTTTTAATTTTAATCACAATTTGTGAAAACGAATGTGTACACATTCTTGGCCCCGGCTCGGCCCTAGAATTTACATAATTTTAATGCCTCATTGGTCATCAAAACATCACAGTGAATTATTCATGAGTGGTTCATATTTTTGCTCACTTATTTTTACCTGAAGTAGTGAAAAATATTTTAAAAGGGTTTGATTGGAGGAAGAGAAAAGTTGAAGCTCTTTTGCCCATGTACATGTTAATGGTATAAATGAGTCAGAGGCCAATTAATTAATTGTTTACTGGCCATTGCCAAACAATGACTTTGTTTTTATTATCCTTTCTATTTTATTGCTATAGGCTTCATCATCATTACAGACTGGTGAAAAAGAGACAAGCAATCCAAGGCACAATGTAATTGAATGATACCCTGTTTGATTATACATGTACCATTATAGCTAGAAATTTGGAGTGTTAAAATTTGGCAAATTGACTTTAAAAGCTGTTCGGAGGTTAAAATTTTGGCAAAATTTTAACTCTGTGCATGCTTCTATGGACCCCTATTAAATTGGAGACGAAAATTTGGCAAATAAACCTCTATTTGCCAAATTCACCAAAATTTTACTCCACCAAATTTTCTAGCTATACAGTAGTTGCTTTGTGTGTGATTATGTGTTGTCCTGTAAAGTTTTAGCAGCTTTCTATTAATACAGTACATTTATAATTGGGTATTTAACTGTTGTACCTAAATGTCTAGCATAGTCTGCAAATCCATTAGGTACCTTCCACTGAGTTTGTCACAGAATATACCTGCAATTACAAACTCCACCTTTAACATTGTTTCATACAATTGAGAGTATTTTTTTTAATAAGATCGTATAGTTATAATATTATAACAAGTAAATTGATTGGAGTAATCAGCAACATTTTAGTTATCACAATAAATTTAGCTGGTTTTATTTTTATAATTTTTACATAGGCACCTCGTAATATGCCATCTAGTCGTAATCAAGGCACTAGTGGAGGACGAAATAGACACAGGGATTCACGGAAAAGCAGCAGTAACACCACACGTAACCCAAAGCAGTTTCCTAAACAAGTCAATAGCACTAATACAGCATCGTCAACTCCAGCCCCTACTTCTACAAATGATGAGAGCAGAGATGATGACAAGGTAGTGGTGTGACTGTAATTTAGTTGTTGTTACAATGAATTATAGGACGAGCTTAAATCTGAGAGAAAAAGCTATGCACAGATGGCAGGAAAGAAAATGAAGCCAAGTACTAGCAGTAGTAGTACAAGTGAAAGTGTACCTTTATTAAATGTACCATCAAGCCCGCCACCAGTTTCTCCTAATGATGCTAGTAGTGAATCTGATTCATCATCTCCTGTCTCTCCTCTTCCTGTCCAAACTACTTCCTCCTAAAATTTGTTCCCTCTTTGTATTTCTTTTTACTTTTTTCTTTAAGTTTATAACATTGTATCATAGAGATCTTCTTGACTATTTATTAGTTTTAAATTATATTCTAGCTTTGGAGTGAATTATGCATGAACTTTATTGTGATCACAATATTTCTGTTAAAATAATTATACATCAACTCTCAGTGTGTATGGTTGTGTGTGTTGAAGTTGAATTATATTTATTATTGTTCTTTCTTTGGTGTTAAATCATCAACCGTTCCCTTAATATTCTGTCCACGTTTATATCCAATGATGCCACCACCAACAGCACCAGCTGTGCCCCCTGCTACAGCAACTACAGTACCCACTTTAGCTCCAGCTAACAAACCAACTGGACCACCCATTACTCCTCCAACAATCCCTCCCACTAGTGCTCCTCCTACTGGTAACATCATTGCCTTGATTCTTGCCATCTACACAAAGGGTTCATTCCATATACATGTAAAATATTCACAAGAATGATTATTCACCTTACCTTTTGAATTGTAATCATTGATCCATGAACATAATCTTCAGCTTCATTTACTTGTACTTCCAGTCTGTCAACTATCTCGTGTTGATCCTAAAATGTTATAGATTACAATCACTTGTAAGCTGATGTAGATTTAATCATACTTTGACGTGCTCAAGCAGTGTAGTACTCAGTTCTTGTAATTCTTCCAATTCTCTGTTAAGTTCGGTCCAAACTTCACTTGTAACCTCAGCCGTTCCACCTTTACATAAAGCAACATAGTCTTGCTCTTGTACAGTATCATCTAAAAGGAATAATCATTTTATTATTAGTGACCAGTAGCATACCAATCATGACTACGCTTGGATCCAAATGCTTAAAAGCCATGATACTCTCTATTATTCTTTCCTGAGTTGGTTTGATAGCTAATTCCAGATCAGAGTGATCCTCTTCCGTAATTTGTCCTTTAACATCATCCAACTCTTGAATATGAGTTCGTAATTGCTAAAAATAACAAAGGTAAGGTGAACATGTACAAATAAAGTCAGAAGATCTCAGAAACTATGAGTAGTTGGAATTGATTTTATATTATTTACAACTAATACTTATACCAATCAGATACCTACGTGTATACCAATGCCACTATATACATCTACTTGTATGTACATAAATCAGTATGTGATAGAATGATTAGAAACTAAAAGTAGAACTGTAATGGAATAATGCCATGGAATGCATGGCCACCATTGTGCTACATTGTATGTAACTGCTGCACCTGTGTGGCAGTCACACACACACACACACACAGTCACACATACTGTATTTCCTTAAATAAAAGCCCGGGCATCTATTTCCTAAAATGGTATTTGGACCTCAAAAAATATATAAAAAATTTAAAAAACTTAGGCCCAGAACGGGGTTCGAACCCGTAACCTCACGCTTTAACCTTCTGCAACTTCAGGCATTATCCACTATACTACTCATTCATTCCTGGGCTGGTGCTGCATATTTATAGTTAAATTGTATTGCTACCCCGGCGTTTATTCAAATGCAGCTTTTATTTAAGGATTTATGGTACATCAATTCAATACCAAATTTCAATATATGTATCACATATAGTAGTGGTCCCGATGCTACAATACAGATACATACACAAGTACTAATACCAATGGAACCCTGGTAAGTTCTTAACCTCTTTAATTTTTCATATTGTGTGACAGTATAATCTAACTATATGTCAGTGTAGTAACATTGGCAAAAAGCTATTAATTTTAGAGGGGGATTTTGGAGAATCAAGTGTTTTGATAGGAAATACATGTAAAATTAAGCCACCCTTGTGAACTTTTGTGCAAGTGCTCACTGGAACACAAAATCACCAGAATTAATTAAAACACACCAATAATCAAAAATTTAGCAATTTGTCAAAAATTGTAACACTCCAAAAAATTGTTACAAGCTTGCGGTATTACATGTAAGTGAATCTTTCAATACATTTTAAAGGCATTTGAAGCCTAACATACACAACATTCAACAATGTTACTTTCAAGATTTGTCCAGCCTTTAATCATATGCTTTGATGTCGTCAAGCAACATAATGCCTTGAATAGGAAACCTTTCTATTCCTTTCAACAAGGTTGAAAGAAAGATCAAAGGCTGGCAACATGCTACCTGTAGTGTATGTTGGGCTTAATATTTGTAATTAACAAGCCAAGATAGGTAAAAAAAAGTGCTAGAGTAGTAGAAGGTGATAAAAGAAAGACAAAGCCAATTTATAACCATTTCACAAAATAATATTAACTTGTCCAGCACTTAAATGGGTCAATTACAGCATCACTGACATCATTCAAATACAGTGCAGAAAGCATCATCAATTTCATGATGGTGAAAAATTTATTAGACACACAATCAAGCTCCCAATAGACAAAGACTTGTGATATTCACCCAGGCATGATAAATCATAAGATGAAAATAATTCAGAAATTTTCTTTTTCAGAAGCAAAAAAATGCCATACAGCTCAAAACTTTCACGGGTAAAACTTTCGCGAATGAGTAAAAAGAGATATACCGCATAGCAGGAAATTTTTGTGGCCCAAAATTTTTGTCGATTTCACGTTTTTTTCAAAGTTCACAAAAATAAAATGCCCTAAAATCAATTTAATACAGTTCAAGATGGCCAAAAAGTAGAAAACCACAAAAATTAAAGCCACGAAATTGATTTTTTGATGGATCCACCAAATTTTGGGTCACGAAAATTTCTCGCTACATGGGTATTCACAATTAAAACTTTCACAAATGACCCAGGTCCATTGTATAGAGAGTGTGGGGTGGCTAGTAGCTCTATACTAGAAGATTCAGAGAGCTCCCATAGCATCAGGCAAATGAAAAGCATGACTGCAAGAATGTTTTGGTCTTCTTTCTTTGAGGTACAGCTAATAGAGGCCATTTTAAGACAGCCTTGTGCAACCAGAACATTCCTTAGCCTACAGTCATTAGATCGCAGTCCACCCAAATGAATATAGGTTGGGGAATGGTCTGGCTATGTGAGACCAATTTTAAGACACATGTGCTCACTTAATTAAGGCAAGCCCATGCCTACTTGTTCACAACCTTTAACTTTTTGCAATAAAAAACTTTTGTGTTTGAGCCCTAAACTGCGAAATTTGCTGAAGTTTTCAACCTTGAGAGTTTTAAGCTATACAGTAAGGCTAGTCACCTCGTCAAAGCGAAGGGACTACTAAGGCCAGTACGGATGACTTCTATATTTAACACACTACTCCTAAAATTCAGTGTTTTGAGTTAGTAATGACATGTATAACTGAGCTAAATATTTCACTTCCAGATTAAACTAGCCAACTAAAAGTAACAACAATTACAATTCATCTTTATCAGAATAAGTAATCGGTGTAATCCTCACTTGCAATGGAGTAAGTTAACTAAGCTTTTAGCCTTATACATGTATTACCTTGTACATTTCAACAAGCCAAATTGTTGCCCTAGTTTCCCATACACCTGTAGCTAGAAATTATTGTGGGACTTATATCATAATTTTGTACCAAATTTAATGTATGTGGAGCTGGTGTAGGCATGAGCTGTTGATACACCCTATTAACTATAATAACAAAAAGCCAATTTAAATTCTAGCAATTATTTCCAGCTTCATGGTGATTGGCTGACAAATATGTACACTACCATTTGTGCCAATTTGCTCCAGAAATATACAATAAGAATAATTCTGATGAAAACTGGTCATTTGGCACAATAATTATGTTAATTGGAGCAGAGTAAAATTTGTTAGCAAATCCCCACTTGTACCATTATATTCTAGTTCTACTCGACTAATGCCATAATTATTTGCAAAATAAAATCCTAACTCAAACATCATCCTGCCCATATAATATTGTGTAATTACTAGAGAGTATACATCTATTTCCACAGAGTTTCTCATTATGTACTTACTCTTATAGTCTTTGAAACATTCCTCTTTTCTCTTTTGAGTGATTCCCATTCTTCTTCCTCTTGGTATTGCTGAATGTTTCGGCCATGTTGCTGTAATTGATTTAAACAGGTAGGTACAATCACGCCAGTCAACTGCTCAACACGATCTCCAAGTACTCTCAATTTTACTCTTTCCTCCAAATCCACCATTACGGTGCAATGGTGTTTCCCTCTCTAGTGTTTACTTGATAGCTCTAATTAACGCCCAACGGAAGCTTTGTGTATTGTGTAAAGAATTAGAATTATTGTCTGGTGTAGTGGTGTAACAATTGATTTTCATTGAAAAATGGTAAGAGTCATATACCTTTATGTTCATTTTTCATCTCTTATAATAGGCTGTTGGTGGTAAATCTGTAGGAAGCAAGTCACCTCGTGCTGGGGCTCGAAAGTGAGAGAAACATAGCAGTAACAATAGTAATTTTAGTTTTTAATCTGTTAGACGTGTCAGTGCTCCATCAAGTGGAGTAAGAGCTAGACAGCCTACTGCAGGGGGTGCTGGGTCTATGTTCAAATTTTACAGTGGGGACGACTCACCGGGCATTCAAATGTAAGTAAAATTAATTACTCAAGTGGCAGATAGTGATATTTGTTTGTGTAGTGGTCCTGTTCCAGTATTAGTGATGAGTCTCCTATTCATTGCCGTTGTGTTTCTGCTACACATTTGGGGCAAGTATACAAGATCTTAACAGACCAATGTACATAACTTCATATAGGGCTAATATTAATTTTTGAAACTAAAATAAAACTATGATTAAAAAAAATAAAGCCTAACTACTTCTTTGTACATTGTACTGCTGATAAATGTAACTGTAGCTAGGATTTGCTAAAACAACTGCTCTATAGTTCATGAAGAAGTATGTATGTGTACACATTTCCATTGACCTTCTTTCTTCTCCCAAATGCATGTTTCTTTACATTCGCTTGATCCAGCACGGCCAGTTCTAAGAATAATGATTATTATAGTATTGAATGACAACATCTTACTCACTTGTCTACATGTTGACTAAGGCGGACATAGCAAATATAGGCAGCATTGTCACCCAAGAATTGAACATGTGGTTCAATCATTGTGATGTTCTCTGCTGGGTAAGGAGGAACTACAAAAATATGAAAGTGAGGCTTATCATTCTAAAATACCAATTAATACCATTAGCAAAGAAAAAATTGTGATGCTCAACTCCAGTCAAAAGACGACAACCACCAGTTGACAGGAAACTAAGAACTTGACTATCACACAACTTTCTACAATAATAACATAAAAATACATGTAACGATTACACAATGATACTTACTGATAAGCTTCATAGTCACGACAACGGATAGCCATTAGCAAAGCTTGCTGCGCTTTCATAACTTCGTCTGTTGTCTCATCTTCAGCAACTGGAATTTCCTATTATAATAAGTATTATTAATAAGCATTATTTTTTTGTAGCTAATGAAGCTATTGCTAGCAACATACTGGTACAGTCGAAGATACAACATCAGACTGGGGCTTGACTTCTGGTTCCTTTTTTTTCAAAGCTAAAAGTAATTATTGTACTTATCAAATTACATGTAACTAAATACACATACCAAAAGTAGCAGCATTATGCGTGCGAACTGCAATTAAAGAAGTCAAAAATGCTCCTTTAAGTTTCCTTCGTGCGTTAAACCTCTTCAGACCAGCAATAGTTGCCTGACGATGAATATTAGAAGCAACTTCAGTTCGTTTCTAAAAATTATGAACAATATAATAGTAACAACTTAGCTATACATACACATATCCAAGGATTTCTAAGCGCTTCTTCAGCTTTAATTCTTTTCTTTGGATTTGCATTCAACATGAGTGAAATCAATTCCTATCTCACAATAAATAGAAGTCAAAACTCATTGCAACATTACTTTAACTTCCTTTGTAACAGAATCCCATTCTGGAGAAGGAAACTGTATTTATAAAAATAGAATCAATATATATTGTAAATGCTATCATAACTAACTGAGTAACGACCCATCTTAATTTGTGCATACAGCCTCTTTTGGTCCTCATCCCAAAAAGGAGGGTACCCAACTAATAATATATATAAGATAACACCACAAGCCCAAACATCAACAGCTTTTCCATAAGCCTCTCTCTTTATAACCTCTGGTGAAAGATATCCTGGGGTACCAGCAAATCCTAAAAATAAATAAAATCAAATGCATACTAGTGTTAAATGCTAACCATGCCATTCAACTTGATCAGGAGTTTCCAGTTGCACAGCTAAACCAAAATCTGCTAACTTTACGGCAGCATTCTTGGCTCTACTTGCCAATAGTAGGTTTTCAGGCTAACAAAAGTGTAAAAATTGTTATAACAACTTAACATTGTTCTTTAGTACTTTCAGATCCCGGTGCATAATACCCATTCTGTGACAATAGGCAATTCCATCTAAAATTTGCTGTACACAATGACTATAAGAATATGGAGTGATATGTTACACCTACATGTATGCGTCATAATGATACCTGGCATCACTCTCACTATAATATTCTCTGGCCACTATTTCATCAAACAATTCCCCTCCAGTAATTCTAATGAATGAAGTTGATTAGATTGTTGTTTGTATATAACTCACAGTTCAAAGACAAGATAATGAGTGAAAGATTCAGAAATAACATCATGTAGCAAAACTATAAAATTAATGCATTTGCATTTTTGTTTAGGATTACAACTAACCTATATTGGGGTGCTGCAATTGACGACAGATTTTTTCTTCTTTCTGTAACTTTGAAATATCTAAATTAATTAAAGGTACACAAACAGGTACATGTCATAGTGTACAACCAAAAATGTCACAACTCATCATCAGTTGACATTCCTCACTTAAACAAAATAATGCTTACAAACAAGTCACAAATGACTATACACAATAAATATAGTGAAGAAACTAGAAAGTTTTTGGATCTCACTCAAATCTCACACCAACAAAAAGTAAAAATCTGAGTATGAGTACCGGGGTACTAAAGATTCGGGATTAAAATTTGTCAAGCGTTGATTAAACAATCTGCTGTCTTTGTCTCTATGAGTTTTAAGGGTTATCTAGTTCTACAACCTACCTCGACCTGTTAATCTTTTCTTGTTGATTATTTTCGCTGCATACTCAATTTTATCCTCTCTTCCAATGCACTTTTTAACAATACTAAATGCACCTCTAGATTGATTGTTAAAAAGATGTCAATGTTCTATTAGCAATACTTACTTTCCCAAATCTTCTTTCAGGTCGTACAATTCTGAGAAGATCTTTTCCTTGCCAGGGCTGGACGACATCGTCAATGAAAGGCAACTCAACGCTATTAAAATCGTTCGTGGCAAATTTCACCAAACCACTCCCATAAAAGCAATTTTAATCCACATTTTTTATTAAAACAAAAAATTGTTTTGTTAGTAGTATCTATCACTAATAATTAGCAAAGACGTTGACTTTGTCACTACTTAGAACGAGCACGCATCTTTCTCCTCTTTCTTTTAAGCCTACAAAAAGTAAGAGAGTCAAATTATAATAGCTTATCAAGCAACATACCTTCGCATCCTCTTCTTCTTCCACTACATAAAATAAGAATTATGAGAAGGATTCACTTTAAACCAAATACCTTATCTCTCATTTCGATGGGAAAACCTCTGCTTTTCTACACTCAAGACAATTAATGGAATATCACAATGTGTTCTTCGAGTGTGTCAGGTGGTTCTTGTGCTGAGCATGCGTACTAGATCAAGCTATCCGTAGTTTAGATGTCCGTCCATTCCCGTATATTGTCCCGTGATTTTTTGTTTGTTCCTCTTTCTCGTTTATCAAACAGTGAGGACTTTTGGTTACCTGTTATCTCGCCTGTTACACCTTTCACGGGCTTTTAAATCTTCAGAAGTAAGGTATGTTCCTTTGTCAGTAAATTTATGTTTCCAGTTGATGGTTTTAATATCGCTATTTGTCATTATGAGCAACGGGCGTGGCACAACTCATTTCATAGACGCACTCGACTGTGAATGCCACTTTGGGCCCTTTAGTTTATGGTTGGTATTCTTTATGGTTGGCTTAAACCTTTTCTGAACGCCAGCTTTTAACTTTTCCTTTTACTATTGTGTGACATCAGCATTTTGTTTATCAACAGTACTTTAGAGAGATGGCAGCAAGACCTGGAGCTGTTCAACGTCCAAATGGTATTCCAAGAGAAAAGATATGTCAGTTCAAGCTTGTACTATTAGGTATGTTTATGTTTTAAATTTTGTCTTTTAAATTTTACGCTGTCACTGTGTTCATGCTACATCAGGAGAATCTGCTGTTGGTAAATCCAGTTTAGTATTAAGATTTGTAAAAGGACAGTTTCATGAGTATCAAGAGAGTACTATTGGAGGTAATCGTTTTGTAATTTTGCTTTGCATCACTTGTCTTTTTGTGTAGCTGCTTTTTTAACTCAGACGGTAAATCTTGATGACACGACTGTTAAATTTGAAATCTGGGACACTGCTGGTCAGGAAAGATATCACAGTTTAGCTCCCATGTACTATCGGGGAGCTCAGGCTGCTATTGTCGTCTATGATATTACCAATCAAGTGAGCTAGACGACTGATGTATCTTCCTGTTAATGTTCTTTTATTGTAGGACACATTTGCAAGGGCAAAGAATTGGGTAAAGGAGTTACAACGTCAAGCAAGTCCTAATATAGTTATTGCTTTAGCAGGCAATAAGGCAGATCTGGCTAGTAAACGGATGGTGGAATATGATGTAAGTATGTCCAGTTTTTCAGCAACAAGGTAATCCATTTGTTTAGGATGCTCAAGCATATGCTGAGGAGAATAGTTTGCTTTTTATGGAAACTTCCGCAAAAACTGCAATGAACGTCAATGAAATCTTTTTAGCGATTGGTATAATATGAATCACTTCTTATTCTCTCTTTACTATTTGTATACCTTTATAGCCAAGAAACTGCCAAAGACAGATCCTGGACAACAACGTGTTGGTTCACAATCAGGTGGTCGGGGTCGTGTGGTGGACATTGAGAAGGATACGAACAGTGGTGGCGGAGGAGGCTGCTGCTCAAAGTCTTAATGTGTTTCTACTGTTCTGTGCTTGCATATACCACTCTGTGTTAATGTTTCTGATGTTATAATCTTAGGAAAGCGCTATGGCAATATTATTAAACTAATTATTTTGTGAGTGTCATAATGTAATTGTCTGTTCAACCAGCACTAATTGTAGTATATTTCAAGATTATTTAAAATGCTGTTTTTGTACTATGTCTTTGTATTATAAAAGTCATCGTCTCTATGGTAACATAAGTATTGCGCATGCGCATAACATCATCGCGGGCTGGGATCAAATTTCAGTAGTCCAACCCCTCGATTCTCAGTACATCACACCCCCTAACATGTCTTCTTTGAGGAGCAGACAGAGTTTAAAGTTTGAGTCCACTCAACCTAGACGTTCTGGAAGACTCAAAGAAGAGAGGGTACTAGTAGAAAAGAATGTCATTCCCTTGCCGGAAAAATCATCTCAGAAGAAACTTGACTTTCCTGCTAGAAAGAGAAGGCAGGCGAGTTCTGTGACACATAAAAGTGCCAGTCCAACCAAGAAAGACAAAAATGGTAATTTGTATTGCTTTCTTTATGCATAGTACATACTCAAGATAATGATTAATATGCTAAGTGAGCTAAACAGCATGCTTCATGAACTGACAAAAATTATGATGCAGTACATAGCATTTGCAGCAACTTTTAAAATCCATTAAAAATCTAATTTTGATTTGAATCAGCTCAAACTTTATACACAACATAATTGCATCTACATGTATGTTTTAAAACATTATAAAACAGAGAATTCTCTTCCAGTCATTTTTTGATAAAATTTGGCCAAAATCCATGTAGCACAGGCAATTGGCCCAATTTTTTAAGCATTGTTAAAATCCATGAAAATCCAAGCTTCATCGGAATTAACTCAAATTTTAAATATAACATAAGGACATGTACACATTATTATTTTTTGATGAATTCTCTCCTAGCCATCTTTTCTAAATTTGGCCTGCCTGACTTTTGAGCAACTTTAGAAATTCACAGAAATTTTTTGATTGTAATTAGCTCAAAATTTGTACACAGCTTCATGTATACTGTATGCATCAGAAAAAGTAATAAAAATGGAGATTTATCTCTCAGTCGTTTTTGACATAGCAAATTAAAAATTCATAATAAGTCCAGTTATTAGAATCAGCTCAAACTTTTGACATAGCATGTACACATACGTGTACATGTATATCAGAATAATTATAAAGATACTGATTTCCCTTGTTGTCATTTTTGATGAAATTCTGTCAAAGACTGTGAACTTAGTACACAGTTTTTTGCCCAATTTTGAGCAACATCAAAAATTCATAAAAATTTAATTTTGATTGGAATCAGCTTAAATTTTTTAAACTACCTAAAAATATGTATAATGTGAAGAATTCTCTCTTTGTGATTTTTTGTGGAAATATTTGGCCCATTTTTTGTGAAACTTGACAATCCACTGACATGTAAGCCTGAGGATTTTATTCCCAGATAAAAAAGATTAATTGAATAATAGGGTAATTATTGTAAAATTGTGCAGTAGCCAGTAGGTGTGGCCGAATGCTTAGTAAATCTTGTCTCACACCTTGTGCTTTACAAGGCTTAATTGAAGTGCCCTTATTATGTTACAGCATAATGAACATTGAATGAGGCAAATTTGTATAGTCATTTTGTTTATTTTAAAAATACTTTGGAATAATAATAATAGGAATAATAGGCAAATATATTGGGAATAATGGGAAAGAATGATGGGGACATTTTGGAAATAATATCCTCAGCTCTACTGACATGAGGATTGTCAGGGGATTGTATGTCAAATTGTCAGTCCACTGACACAAGGTGTTCTTTGGGAAACCCTGATGACTAAGTTATGTACATGTATGTATTGTGTACAAGGTTTGTCCCTTAAATTAAGCATTTCCATTTATTCAGTAATTTCAATGTGTTTATATGAAACAATTTTTCATTAATAACGTTCTTTGTATAGATACTGTGTTGGAGAAGGCTAAATCTGCCTTTCACAGTAGTTTACCATCTCATCTTATGTGTCGAGATGAAGAAATCGATCATATGCAACTATTTTTACACAAACACATGGAGTCCAATAGTCCTGGAGCTATGTATGTATCTGGCCCCCCAGGCACGGGTAAAACAGCTACTCTGATGTATCTGTTGGATCAAATAAAGGTACACAATTCTCATTTGCATAATAATAGCAATTTAACTTTGTGAGAATACAATCCGAATTTCATATCAATCATTGGGCGAAGCCCACTAGTTCGAGTAGAGTATGTTTGTCTGTCTGTTTGTTTGTACACGTACGTCACCCCTATTTATCCATATGAAAATTTTCCTATTTTAATAACCTAATCTTAATCTTCTTTGAAAACGGGCGTGGTTACAGTGAAATAAAATGGCGCCAGCTATCAATTCTTCATTGTTCTTCATGTTCTTGACCTTATAAGTTACAAGTCACTCACTTGAGTCAGCAAGAATGCAAGAGAAGTCTCTACTACTTTCCAAATACAGCAAGGAAGATTAAGAAGGCAGATATGCCACAGTTGTGAGCTTGTAAAGCCTCCACAACTACTGACATAACCTATGACTGCAGTTACTGTCTCTGGCTTCCAACACAACTTTTTTGCTGCAGAATGTGATAAACTGATAAAGAAAATTTGTATTTCCAAGCATGATAACTTCATTACAAACTTACAAACTACTGTATTTACTCATGTACATGTACAATAATGTAGCTCTATACCATATAACCTTTAAAATATAGCGTGGCTAGGGGGCTGAGCCCCTTAATGTTTTACATTTGTCTAGTATTATACTTATACATGTACATCTGTCTTGATTTTAGGACAATGGAAGTGATACCATCATTTTAAACTGTATGACCTTGACCACTCCTCAAAGTATTTTTAACAAAATAGCCTCTGAGCTAGGTCTAAAGAAGGGCTCAGAAAAGGTTATTATAGAACACATCACATCATCCGAGAATATGATGTAAGTGTAATGTGCTGTAAAGATATTTTGTGTACTTGCCCTCAGTTTGCTAGCTTTAGATGAGATTGATCAACTGGATAGTCGTGGACAAGAAATATTATATAAACTCTTTGAGTGGCCGAGTCTTCCAAACTCATGCCTTATCTTAATTGGCAAGAATTTCATTACATTAACAGTATGATATTTTTTACTTTAAATTAGGAATAGCAAATTCTTTGGACTTAACTGACAGATTATTGCCACGTTTGAAAGCTCACCCACACAGTAAGTCAATTATCTTTTTTACACTATAATCTTGTCTTTAGCTACACCAGACCTACTAATCTTCCCTCCATACACAAAAGATGAAATCATGCTCATTTTGGAAGATCGCTTAAGCCCCGAGACTTCTTCAATGATAGATAGCATGGCACTACAATTTTGTGCTAGGAAAGTTGCAGCCGCACATGGTGATGCAAGAAAAGCACTTGATATTTGTCGCCGAGCTGTTGAATTGTTTGAGTCTCAGATGAAATCCGAGGAAAGTAGTGAAAAGAATAAAGTGAACATCAGCCATGTTTCTTTAATTATTGAGGAAGTGTATGGTGGAACAGTGAAGAGGGCTGATGTTGCAGGGAGTATACCATTGCAACAAAAATTGATAGCTTGTTCCCTTTTACTTGCAACAAGAGGAAAGTCAAGCAAGGACGTCCCTCTTGGAAAAGTAAGTAGTTCATTTCAATTTTAAGGCTATCATCAGACTCATTGTATTATGTAGCTCTATAGTACTTATGTGAAAGTTTGTAAGAAACAAGAGCTTCGTTTTGAAAGTCAAAGTGAATTTGTTTCTTTAGTGAACATGCTTGAGGCACAAAGTATAGTGACAATTAAACGAGGAAAGGAGGTATTACTTCATAAAGTCAGTTTACATTATGAAGAGTCAGAACTTGCACACATATTAAAGGATCAGGCACTGTTATCAGCAGTATTAGATAAAGGATTTTAAACATTTTTATCTGTGATTAGATTGATCACTATTAACACTATTATAACTCAGTCAATATAATATTAAACATGGACATACATATTATTATTATTATTATTATTATTATTATTCAGCATTAATTATGTTCATTCTGATACATATCCAAAGCAACATAGCAGCTCTCGCTCACAATACGTTCAGGGTCTTCACAATACTCTGTCAATACTTGAAGACATTCTTTAGTTGCAATTGAGCCCAAAGCTTCTGCGCATTCATGACGAACCATAGGACACTGGGATGTATCCTCCAGAACTTGTTTCAGTGCTTCTATAGCTGCTGGGTCTTGCATTTGACCCAATACATAAGCTATCTCGTGTTTAAAGAGAGCACTTTCATCTTTAAATCCAGTGGTCAATGCTTTAATTGCATCAACTCCACCTTTGTTCCTCAAAGCAAAGAGAGCACGGTACCTCAAGAACAGAGACAATGACCTGTTATTTAATTGTTCCTCCCATTCTTTAACAGAGCCATTATTAGTAGGTGGAGCTGGATCAACCGACAGGTACGGATTGTTGTCACGAAACCTCCCACAATCTTTGTCACTTAGCCACTGTAAACGCTCTACTGCTAGTGCACAAGTCTCTGCAACTGCTGGGGAGTCATCATTCAGATACTTACTCAGAAACGGGATAGCCGATGCATCACCTATAGCACCCAAAGCTTCCCCAGCTTCATGACGTACCATTGGCTCTTCATTAACGTTTGATAGAACTCTCTTTAGCACAGGTAAGGCAGTGGAGTCCTGCATTTGGCCAAGACAATAAGCACATTCGTGTTTCAAAAGAGCAGATGATTCTTCCAGTAAACACTGTGAAATAGCCCTGATAGCTGCGTCTCCTCCTTGTGTTCTCAAGGTAAATAACGCCCGAAATCTCTCAGCAAGTGTTTTCCCTGTGTTGTTCAGAATTTCTTCGTTGGCCATGTTGTCACTTGTGTCAGTAGTGCTTTCTAATTAATGCCCACTGAATCAAGATGGCCACTTTGGAGTTGGTTATGGATGTGTCAGATCACACAACTATTTTTGTGAGTAGATCTATCTAATTTTTTGTATTTTTTAATTGTTGTTTTAGAATTCTGTCAATTATTTACTGCAGCAGCATTGTGTATCTGATGCTCTCTTTTTAGCTGAGATGTTACATTCAGAAAGTAAGTGAGGGGTGGTCCTGGCTGTATTAACAATAGTTAATTGTGGTTTAGTATGGATTGGTTGGTTATAAGATGTACCGTCCACTTACTACTTTTACAATGGAATATTTTATTGTACAAAAATTTATAATAAATAATGAGAGATTAATGATTTGACAACTTAATTTATGAATGGAGGACTTTAGTGGTGGATCTATGAGAAAGTGGGAGGGTAATACCCAGCATTAATTTTTGCAAAACTTACAAGAATATTTCACGAAATGTATGTAAAAAATATGCCATTGTATTTCATGGGAGAATTATTGAGTATAGCATGTAATAGTTTTAGCCTGTCCATAAAATAATAAGAAATAATCTACATGTACAATGTGTAATAATTTGTATAATAATGGGAGATCCCTAACCTTTTATTGAATAAGGCTGAAGAGTTCCATAATGATACTATGTGCGTTGTACACTGTACCTATACTGTACTGCATGTAGAGTTATACATTGTTTACGTAAAAAAACTCTCCATTTAAATAACTTGTTGATACATTATGCATGTACTTACATGTATGCTATGTAGCAAGTTTGAACTGATATACGAATTTTTAAAGTTGCTCTAAAATTCGGCCAAAGACCCTATACTTAGTATAGGGAGTTGGCCAAATTTTGTCAACAATGACTAGGAGAGAATTTTTCATTTTTATAATTTTTCTGATACATAATGTATACATGTTCTGACGTTATGTGGCAAGTTTGAGATCCAAATTGAATTTTTTACAAATTTTTAGAGTTGCTTCAAAATTTAATTAAGCACCCTGTACTGGAATTTGGCCAAATTTTGTCAAAAATGACTAGTTGACTAATTTGCGAAATTAAAATCTGCAAATTGGAATTTTAGCAGATTTCTTGAAATATACTTCCCTCGAAAAAAACCACTTATATGGTAATTCCCATTAACATTGGAATTTTCAAAGTTTATCCAAAAGCAATCAATGAATGTTGCATTCATCTGGTGCCTTTAGAATTTGACATGGATGCTTAAGCGAAATTAGCACACTGCAAAATATTTAATTAAATGTATCTATTAATTTTTCTGTCTATTATTATGTTAAATTGTGATTTACAATAATTTTTATTAATTTTTGCTATTGTTTTTGTTTCAGAAAAGACTTCTGATAGTGCCTATACTTTAGCTGTTTGTTTATATCGATTGGGAAGATTGAAACAAGCCCAGTATCTTCTTTCTAATTATTTAAGTGACTCTCAGTGTGTTCTTCTTTATGCAAGATGTTGTTTAGAATTAAAAGAGTAAGTAAAAATTAGAGTTAAATTGCTTTACCATTTTGTTATGATTATGGATGCACTTAAATTATGTGTCTAATGCAACTAATTGTTTATACATGTGTATGTATGCCAAATGTCAAATTAGATTTCTCACTATAATTACATATAGTACACAATTAAAAGATATTCTTGATGCTTTGTATTTCTGTACATGTAGATACCAGGATGGATTATTACGACTTAGAGGTTTATTGTGCATTGCAGAGAGCAATGAAAATTTTATTGTAGATAAATTTAATAATGAAGCTGGAGTAGCATTTTTACTTTTAGGAGATTTAAACAGGTTAGTATCATATACAACCACATGTACATCATCGCAGTATCTTTATTGTAGAAAATTGCATTTGACCGAGGAAGCTTGTGAAGCATACAAGCAAGCATTAAACTACAACCCTTTCCTCTGGTCTGCCTTTGAGAGCCTGTGTCAACTGCAGAGAGGTGTTATAGCAACAGATGTTTTTGATAGCAATCAAGTTCCAAGCTTTCTACACCAGCGACAGCATTACAAGCAACCTGATAATCAAATGTTAGTCCCTGATCGACCTCTCGATAACTTATCAGGGAAACCTGCTATTCAAGTGACTACTCCCTCTGATGCTGGAGGCTATGTAACACCTGAGTTGTATGATAATTCAGCTCTTGGTAAGGCTATTGCTTCATCTACCCCCGCTTTGCAGTGCCTGGCTACTACACTTCATTTTGACTCTGAGAAGGTCCCTGCTGGACAGGTATCACCCAGAGCACTCAACTTTACTCCTTCAACAAATCAACCTACTTCTGATTATTGTCTGTCCCTTTCTCATAATACCCCTCATACTAAACTAGCAACTAAACAAGTAAGTCCTATCAACTGTATTATTATTCATTTCATTTCTATTTATAGGCTAGTAGCCAGGAAATAGAAGCTGATGCGCATTTATTACCTGTCGCAAATACGACCGAGTCTCCAGTTGATGTTAATTACGAGTTACCTACATTACAAGTACTTATATTTGATACACATACAATGATAGCATTTACTTTTTTACAGGAAATTCCTTCTCATCAGGTACGTAGAAGTGCAAGGCTTTGTGGAATTGGAAAGTCGCCCAGCAGTTTAGCATTCTCAAGACATCGTCCTGAAATTATTCCATCTCCATTAACTGTATGTGTTTTATTATTGTATTTTTTCTTGTAGTGTAATGGATTCTGTATGGCTATTTTTTAAGATGCAAAATTTCATTGATTTTTGATGATTTGCAAAATAAAGGAATTTTACCAGATTGTATGTAGCGAAATTAGCTTTCTAAATATCATCCTCCATATGAATTTTTTAATACTGTGTGAAAATGATGTTGGCAACCAAGATACACTTTAACATTTTTTTGTGTTAAATTTTATTTGACATCAACCGACTGAGATTGGCAAGATGCACAATGCACCTATTGGTGAAATACAATGCACCATCATAGTTTATCAATGTTTGTTTTTGTTGTTAATAAATCATACATCGGTAGCTATTTTATTTGTTTGATTGTCTAGGTCACTTTTATTGTTTTATATTACCCAATTTTGTGTAAAATTAATGACTTCATTCTTATGTGATGCTGTAACAATTTTGAAATTTTTCCATAAAACATTTTTCAATAATTAATAATGAGCACACCATTAATATTGACTGTTTAATTCCAATCTCAATTTGTAATTGCCAAAATAAAAACTTTTACCCTAATTTAAATTATTTATTGGGTGATTTGTTTGAACAAGTATATTTTATCGCTGATGTTCATATTGTTTGAAATAACTGATTTAATTATTTTAGCCACTTATTTATGTAGGTTGCTCGAACCAAATCCAGGGCAAAGGCTCCAACTGGCAAAATTCAAAATCCTTCTGTTATTGGCAAAAAGGTTCATAAAATGTTATAATTATCAGTATTACTTTAGTTTGAGATTTGTTTTTATTTTCCTGCTTGTATAAAGTTACTGTAGTTCATGCATTAGTTATGTAACAAAAAATGTAATAAAACTTTGTAACTGTATGGTCTTTAGCTAACACATTGGACTGAATACATGTACATGTACAACGTATGTGTAAAAATTATGGACATTGATAATAAATTTGAAAATTCAGTAACAGTTGTAAGCACTTTGACAACTACATGTACTGATATGTACATGTACATGTAAACGTTTTTAAATGTGTTTTCATGCTCTTAGTTCAATGCTATTGGAATCAACCATTGATCAAAACATGACATTTTGTTTTGTTTAGCAGAGAGCTATTAGTACTAACTTGACAAGAAATGTTTTGAAAAGATCTCATATATCATCATATGGTGTTGATGAGAATAAACCCCAGTCTGAAGAAGTGAAAGAAGATGATGAAAAAATGGAAGATAACATCATACCTGAAGAAGTTGCACCATTTTCATGCAGTAAGCAATTGTTCATGATGTCTCAATTAATATCATTTCTTGTTATTATTAGAAAAAATTTTGCTTTTATTGCAAAGTCTAGGATCTGCTTACTCGTGTTTAGTAAATTACAAGGCACAGGAAGCTATCAATCTATTCCAACAGTTGCCATTGTCTCATCGTAGCTCACCTAGGGTTTTAATTTATTTAGGACAAGCAATGATGCTTAAAGAGAATTTCATAAAAGTAAGAGGTCAAATTACTTTATCTTAGACTTTTTTCTCGTACATGTAGGCTGCACAATACTTCAGTGATGCCCGCTGTCAGAATCCACACCGTCATGAAGGCATGGACTTGTATGGATCAGCTTTGTGGCATCTTCAAAAAGAAAATGAACTTGTCCTGTTGGCTGAAGAAATGGAAGAATCTAACAAAATTTGCCCTCAAGTATGCAATACATAGACATGTGTACATGTATTTCGTTATTTAAAATTTTTAATTGTATTTAGACATTTTGTGTATTGTCTTCACTCATGGAGTACTACAGAGATCATGATGCTGCCATTCGTTACCTTGAGAGAGCTATCCAGCTAGACCCTTGTATACCATATTCATACACACTATTAGGGCTGGAATATACACTGGTGAAGGACTATGACAAAGCACTTACTTCCTTCCAAGCAGCTACTAACATTGATCCTTGTCACTATAATGCCTGGTACTGCTCTATTACTTATCTACTAGCAATTACATCTATTATGGTGTTTGGTTTTTTTAGGTATGGTTTATCACACTTATATTTCCAGCAAGAGAAATGGGTATTAGCTGAAGTCAATATTAAAAGAGCATTGTCACTTAATGCTTGTAGTTCCATGGCTTATACACAGTTGGCAATGATACAGCAGAAGCAAGGTCATCACAGTACTGCTTTATGTACTATTGAAAAGGCTGTAAAGTGCAACAGTTCCAACTACTTGCCCAAATATCATAGAGCACTAATACTAGAATCTTTAGAGCAATATGATGTGAGTTGTTATTTTTTGTTAATGTGTATTAATAACTTAACAGGAATCTTTGAAACAGCTTAATGAGTTATACACATTTCTGTCAAAGGAGCCATCTTTCTATAAATCTTTGAGCAGGGTAAGGAAGTGATTGATATTTGATACTGTTTATTGTGAATACTGTTATGTTGAACTCAATGGCATTTAGTGTTATTCATAGCATTTCTTTTTCACACTGTTATGATAGGTTCTGCTAAAGTTAGGACGACCACAAGACTCTGTCCTTCACATGGCATGGGCAATGGATTACTCACACAGTAGTAGTGGAATGATAGCTGGGGTAGCTTTAGTAAAGCCTCATTCTCAGCATTTTATGTTATTAGATGATATTGAGGGAATTTCAGACCAGGATTTTATTCCTCATGCGGAAGATAGCATACTGTCTGACAATTGATTTTAACTATTATTTTGAAAATAAATGTACAAAAGTGTAAAATGCATTATGGTACAATAATAATAATAATTGTAATTGAGATGTTATCAATCATAATTATCTAACTTATTAATTAGTGTGTGTGTACATGTACATCATGTAATCAGCCGAATGAATAATAATTGTTATGCTTTGTCAGAAGAGCTGTGTCTTCGCATGTGAAGAGTAAGGTGGTCAGACCTGGCAAATGTACGATCGCACACCTTACATGAGAACGGTTTAATGCCTGTATGCTTGCGATAATGACGAGTCAGCTCATCAGAACGAGCAAACCTCCAGCTGCATCCTTCCCAGTCACATTTGTAAGGCTTCTCTCCTGTGTGAGATCTTAGATGAGCCTTGAGATGAGAGGTCTTGCTATACAACTTGTCACATCCTTCATGTGGACATTCGTGAAATTTTTTGCCTTCTTTGGAACGACGACGTGATGGAGCTCCTCCTGTTGTAGATCCCTTATTTTTCTGAGCTGACTTGTTTGTGTGTTCATAATGAAATGCTCCTCCGCCAGGGATTGGTGATGTTACTGGTTGTGAAGCTCCCATGTCTTGAGCGAGTTTTACTATCTGCACCAAGGAAGACAAGCTGCCTCCACTTGCATAAGCTTCTCCAATGTCACCATGAACTGAAGAAGCATGTGGAGAAGATGTAGCAGAGGAGTGGTGAGATGGAGAAGAGTAGTAGGTGTGATGGACTTCCTCAGCTCCAATAGGAGGGGGGCAAACGGTTTCTAACAGATTAGCATCATTTATTTTCATCAACCCTTCTGATGGCAGTTCAAGGAGAGATGCTAAACTGATAGGTTCCTCCTCGTTTAGCTGCAAAAAAGACATTTGTTTATTAGTGTTGCAGCTCCACCTATCATGCATAACTTACAGTTCCTCTGAACTCGCTTTGGTCATCAGCTCCTCCATAATACACTCCTGTATCGTGAATTGCTTGCACCTCTGAAAATATACTTTGTGGGGGATACAAGGTCTGTGCTGACACAATGGAGCCACTCATATCTGCAAAAGCATTGATCTGAGCAAGCCGGCAGTTGCTGCGAGGCTAGTTTGCTTATAACCTTCTAAGGAAATCTGATATATTTAGTTACAGCGTTACTATAAATATTTCTACCACACACACTGTGTGCATTATGATTTCTGTTAAAGAGTAATAAATAATGTTAATTTCGCAGTTGTTTTCGCTAACAACATAATCGATGGCGATCGAAAGATCGAAGAGGCGTGACTTGTAGAAATGATGGGTGTGGTTTTACTGGTTTGGGCGTGGTTTAATGGAGAAAGAGGAAGTTGGTTGGTGTCTAAAGGATTGGATTTGTGACAAAGATGATGTCTTATTTAACGATAGTGTACTCCAACAAATAGATTGTACTCACCTTTCCTGTTACATGAATTACAGTATTTCAATCAAAAATCCAGGACCAGGTCTAGTACTCCGGTCACTTCATAAAAATGACTACGACAAGGGCTATATGACATTACTTGGACAATTAACCAGAACTGGTGATGTTACGAAGGAACGATTTGAAGCACAGTTTGACGCAATGAAGCAATGTCCTGGCATACACTACATTATGGTCATTGAAGATGTGAGCAATGCAATAATTGTAGGGTCTGGTACTTTAGTTGTAGAGAGGAAGTTCACTCACAATACTGCTTTACGTGGTAGAGTGGAAGATATAGTAGTTCATTCAAACTACAGAGGACGGCATTTGGGAAATTTAATAGTTGAAACTGCAACTGTACTGAGTCAAAAACTAGGGTGTTACAAGACTAGTCTTGACTGTCTACCATCATTGAAACCATTTTATGAAAAATTTGAGTTTGAGAACACATCAGTCATTTTTATGTCTAAAAGATTTTATGATTAATTAACCAGAATTTAAAGTTAAACACTGTAAAAATTTGATGGGTGGTATCAGTTTTAAAGTGGAATTCGGTCACACAGTTCTACATGTAGTACATTATCTAAAATTCCTTCCACAGCAAATAAAGTGTGGGACTCAAATCCTGAGGTTTTGAATTCGAAATCACCACACCTAGACCTATCTAATTATTATTCATAGTGATAAAAATGGCTACATAAAATGAATGCAAGCATGATAGATAGCCTGCAAGCAGAGATCTGTCAACAGAGACTATTCTGCGCATGCGTATCTCAGAAAGTCGCCGATAGCCTCGTGGCCCCTCGTGGAGTTGACACTGTCATAGGTATATAATGGCTTCTGTAAGTACTCAAAAACTTTTTAAACGAAACTCTCTTAGCCTTTTCTAGATATAAGCGAAGGAGCAAATAAGAGGCTTTCTGTTGAAAGAATTTATCAAAAGAAAACACAACTGGAACATATACTATTATAGGTATGATACTATTGAGGCCAGATTCGTATGTTGGTTCAGTGGAAGATGCAACAGACCTCTTGTGGGTCTATGATGATGAAAGGAAGGCAATTGTGCAGCGTCAGATTACATATGTTCCTGGTCTGTACAAGATATTTGATGAAATATTAGGTGAGTACATGTATATACATGCTCATTTATATTTATTGATTTTTTGTGTGTGCCACTGTGGATTGCTTATGACCCATGTAGGGGTATGGGTAGTTCAATCAAACACACTTCTTGGTTGCATTATTTTTATCAAGTTATGAGCCAAACCTACTTAATTTAAATGTTTAAGTAGCCTGGATTAATAACATGAATTTATTTTGGGCCTATAAATTGGTAATTAATGAAATTTGTACCAGATGTTTAATATTGGCTAGCTTTGATTTTTAAGCTTTGCAAGGCCCCTCCCATTAGTTTCATTTTTTTTCCTGTCACATGTTCACATGAGTGCTTTATTAATGCATAACTGGTAGTTTTGGGATTAAAATTTTGGCGAGTTTTTTTTATTTTTGCTGATTGGTGAATTTAAATTTGGCAAATGTGTAGCCAGTGCCACATGCTGCTTTAATTTTGGTAACTGGCTGTCAAAAAGCCAAAAGCTCCTTTCAAAATTACTAGCTATATGTACTACTTGACTTGTACATGTATATTGTATTTCATTTGGCATGCACAGCAGTTTATAGTTATAATAATAATACCATATAGTGCTTTAATTTTGAGGAGCTAAACTTTAGCTATTTTTGCGGGTTAGCATGAAACCACGAAATTAAAGATCCGCTAAAATTTCAATTGCCATTAAAGGCGTGGCACTAACATTGCGAATCCGCAAAAGTTATTTTTTATATGCAATCTTTTCATAATTTAAAATTCTTTTCCAAAATTTTAATGTGCCTCCTCATTGTTTACATTTACCGAGTAGCGAGAAATTTTCATAACCAAATACATGTACATAATTTAAAGTCTGACAGCTCCTATTGTTCAAGGAAAAATATTCTCTGACATGAGCTTTTGAAAATGCTCTTTTTGCTTCCTGCGATGTTACTTCCTGTCGGTAGGCATGGCTGAAACTGACATCATTTTGGGCAGACTGGTGATTAATCCATTTCTGCTTTGGGGGAAATGATAACCTTTATTCCCATGCCTTGTAATGTAGTAGCACTAATTTAATGATCATTAGCTCTCATTGTTCTAAGCATGGAGCTGCAAGAAAAAGACTCAACATAACAAAAGATTCACCTTATCACTTACCTGTGGTATCATGACATTATCTTGCAGTTGCATGCTCAGAATAATGAGAGCTAATGATCTCAATCATTTAATTAGTGGTACTACATCACAAGGCATGAGGATAAAGGATTACTTTCCCCTATGCAGCAATGGAGTAATCACCAGTCTGCCACAAAGGATATCACGTCCAGCCGCACCCACCTACTGGAAGTAACATGGCAGGAAGTAAAAGGATATTTTCAGAAACTCTTATCTCAGTGAATAAATTTTTTGAACAATGGTAATTGTCACACTTAAGTTCAGGAAATCATATGAAGCTGATAAAATAAATACCTCAAAAAACTGTTTTAGTTACCCTTTAAGTAGTGGAGAACAAAAGTGTGTATTCATGATACTGTAGGTCAGGATATGTATTTTAGCTGCAATTATTCTTGATTTTTCCCACGACCAGCATCTACCATACCAACTACATGTAAATGCTATATGTTGATTGAAAACGTTACGGTTACCCATGGTCTCTTTTGAGCTGTTTTAACCAGTACTTTTTAGAACTAATTTCTTGCCGTATCTTGGAACCCTCCACCAGTCCACCCATTTTAGTTGATGTTTATTGAATTGGGTGTGGTTTATAATCACCAGCAGGTGGACCAACAATGATTTCCAGCAAAGAGCTCTGTCGTAGAGGTCCATACAAGGAGTAGACAGATAATGAAAGAGTCACAAAACTCGCAATATTTGTGAATTGCTCTACTAAAGCTGCTAAAAGAATATACGTGTACATTTTGGTACATGTATATG